GATATTGCAATATCACTAAATATTATGTTATTTTTCCCAACAATCACAATTACATGTTTAGATGAAAAAACAAGTGTTGTTTATGTTCATCAGAAGATATTGATCATTTAGTTTTTTTTGGCATTCATGTTGTTTGGGGTTGTAGTCAGTCTACGTCTTCCACTGTGACGACCTCAACTACAGATATGGTGCTGAGCCGCACAGCTAAAGGGCTCCACAGCACCATCTTTCATAGTGCATTTTTCCCTCATAGTTTTTGGTAAAATCGGTACCAGGAACTGAAAATTCGATATTATATCGGGCAGCCGAAAATCACGATATGTCCCAAAAATGATTTTTAAAATGATCTCTTTAATTGAAATTATAAACAGCTGTTATTTTTATCGCACTTTTTTTTTTTTTTTTACAGCATTACAGGAGGAAATGCAATATGTCACAAAGTCTTTGTATTTTGTCTGATAAAAAGATAACTGCAATTGTTCAATATAGATTTATAGCAGCTATGAACTGTATAATAACTGTTTAATAATTGTTAAAGATACAGTAGGCTCTGTGTGTCTACACCTTGAAGCTCTATCTCTCTGGTTCTTTTTCCTGAAAAGAGATCAATCGGGACAAACTCTTTAAATAACGCTTCATAACTTATATGTATTAAATAACCAGTAGACATGATAACAGATTCTGATAGAAATTGTAATCTTACTCAGATCAGAGAAATTGCTTAGAGTTTACAGAAGACAGCAGCTCAACTCTGGGCTCACCTCTCAGGAAGTGGCCCTGATTATCAGTTAAAGAGGCATTTAATACATCTCCAATCTGACACATCATCACATCATTACATCATACACCTTAGCAGATGAGGATACATCATTGCTCCTGCATTATCATGTTAAAGTGAGAAGGATTTGTCCCCTTGTAAGGAAGGCTGTCCTGATTAGATGACCTCCGTACACACCGTGACATCCACAATGTGAAGGAAGGCCTTCTGCTCTGTCTAATCTGACTAACAAAATAACAATGCACATGATGTATAAATAATAAAACCTAACAATCAAAATATATAAGATAAAGGAAACCGCTCTCATTCTATTTCCAAATCTTTGCCATGTACAAAATGAAGATTATAACTGTAAATCCGGACAGAGGAACTGTTTTAATTAGATAAACTATTGTGGAAAACATTAGTTCTGACACGCAGCATGGAGCTAATATTAAGGTGTACTAAAATAGAGTAATAAAAAATAGAGTAAACGCATTTTTTTAAAGAAAACAAAGACTAACTAAAGCTAATTAGTGTTGCAATAAAAGTACTTATATTATTTACTCATAAAATTATGTTTTATATCACTCAAACTGTCTAAATGTTTTTTTCTGGATGTCTTTTATTAACAGTTTTGTATTTTACAAAGCATCGTCATCATCATCATCCACTCGGTTTCTCTCAGCTTGCTGTTAGAGACTGTTTGCCCACACCTGTGCTCCCTGCATGCACTTTCACGTCCACCACACACTTCCCCACTCTCTGTCACGCAATCACTCTTTCACACAAGCGGCGACTCACACCATAACAGGTGCCACAGGTGAGCCAGGCGACTCTGCTAGCTAATTGCGGGCAAATCCTTTTGTGCTGCGTGTGTCCAGGGGCCTTCCCTTAAGAGCATCCATCAGTGTTTTTCTTCCATTGCGCGTTCCTCCAGGGAGCACCGTCCACCCCCCCCATCCCCACTCTGGGCTCCCTCGCTCTGCAGACCTGCAAGGAGAGAACAAGAGGCCGTGGACAGCGGCCCAAATCTGCTAATTATTTCTTTCTTTCTGTATCAATTATTTGTTCATAACACCACCCTCCCCACTTCCGCCCGAGGTCTCGAGACACTTGATAAAGCCCCCACAGCGCACACATACGCACGCATGTAATTACATACACACACCCCTTTTATTTTTCCTCCAGCAAAGAGCAACAAACACACACTGTACGTCCACTTACATTAACACACGTTAAAAAAAAAAAGAAAAAAGGAAAGAGACTTGAACTCACATGCTCATAGCCAGGCTTGCTAACACACACTCAGGTACACACTCACCTCCCGCTGTGCTTCATTCAAAGCCTCAGAGGGCACTAATTATTAGAGTAATGGTTGTGAGAGGGTGGGTTCCGGGGATTTTGTGTGCGTGTGTAATGGGGGGGTTGTAGTCGGATTGGGGGTCTCACATCTGCCACTTGTTAAATTAGGCTGAGACAATTAAGAGCAGAGGGTCAGAGCAGATCACAACACATTTATGATTACTGGGACAGTTTACAGTATCAATCCAGGTGTCATCTCTGGATTTTTGTGGTATCCCACGTAAAAAAAGGTTTATAAAGTCATCCACTGAAAGATTTCAATGGTTGTTGAGGCCAAACTTGTTTGTACTTCCTTCAGTTTTATACATTCTTAACTCAAAAGTTTGTTTCTAGCAAGATTTTTAAAATATTTTTGATATAACCTGTTTATTTAGCTTTTTTTTTTTTTTAAATGTCTGAAAATTGGTTATATTCTTAATGATCAATGGATTTTTTTTTTTTTTTTTACAATAGCTACCTAATTGTTGACCAAATTTTTGCTTGTTTCTCTGTTATTTTGATCATTTGTCTTTGGTGGTGGTGACATCCATCTTTAAGGCTGGAAGGCAACATTATCCATTGCTCCTGCCACAGATGCTCTATGTAAAAACATGCTGGTAAAATTTACATTTACTTTCATATGCAAAAGATCTGGTTTCTGCGACTGAAATATTCCCTTGACATCGCTCCAATAACAACATTAAAGAACAATAAACTCTGTAACACCTACATGAAAAACACTTTAAAACAAATTAAAGTTGACTGTTAAAAATGATGGTTAAACATGTGTAAAAGTGAAGTTCTTTTTAAGGTTTAAGGTAGACATTCCCAATATTTATTTTAGAATAAATGGAAAGAAATATTTTTGGCTCAGAATAAATTACCGGTAAAGCTGCTGATAGAAGCAGCTGGAATAGGAGATGGAGGAGCTGAGAAGGATCTGTGCTCAGGATGGTTCTCCTGATCACACTCTGGTTTTTCATCTGAGAGAGGGAAGTTTGGGGCAAACTGATGGTTTTGCTGGAATGCTTTGTGCTCTAGTACCATTTGACTTTTTGGCTCTTAGGGAGAAAAGTTGCACTGGGATAAAATGTAAGTAAGGGATTTATAAACCACTGTAAAATGTCCTCCCTAGTATTAAAAGATCACTATTTACATGCAGATGTAGACGTTTTCTGTCATTGAATTGACTCTGCGTGCTCTTTAAGATAAGGAAAAAATATTGATAAAACATTGTGGTTTAAAAATAACTTTCAGGACAAGGAAGATACTGTACATCTTAAAATCAACAGAAAAATGAAATTAATAAATTATACAGTTTTACAATAAAATCAAACATTTAGGCAGACAATACAATACAGTCGCAATTAGATTCATGGTTAA